ATATCACTCAGTGTCTCTAACCACCGGTTACGATCATCCCAAGGTCCCCATCCAAGGAGTCTAACGGGACCTACTCGACCCAGACTCCTGGTTAGGGTTTTCATACCCTCATGACAGGTCTTAGCTTGGCCACCCTTGACCTTCTTCCACCCACTACCTGCCTCGGTGAACATCGTTCGCCGTGGCAACCTATCGGGTGACATGCGTAACACATGCCCCAATCAACGTAATCTATGGAGGTTGACTACTTGCTCCAGTGGGCGACCGCATTTACCTAAAACTGTGCGCCTAACCTCAGCATTGCACGTCCGGCTGCCTCACCAGATTCGTGCAATGCTGCGTAGACAGCGGTGTTCAAACACCGACAGTCTGTCTTTATCTTGTTTTCTTATGCAGCGTAGACAGCGGTGTTCAAACACCGACAGTCTGTCTTTATCTTGTTTTCTTAATGGAGTTTCTGCACCGTATAGCAGAACTGGCCGAACTGTCGCGGCATACACTCGACGCTTCACAGGTTTCTGCACCGTATAGCAGAACTGGCCAAACCTAATAGAACAAGAAAAAATGCAGAGATCTGATGAGCCTAGAGAAGAGAGAGTACGAATATTTGAGAAGAAAGAAGGGACCGAAGTGAGAATTAGACCGAGGGTGTGGGCACGATTGCCAGCTCGATCAGGGACACGTGGAGAGGTCAGCTAGTTGGCTCAGGTTGTTGACCAAGCGAACTGTTCGGCTGCGCGCCCCAAAGGAGAAGTAGCAGGTGCATGTGTCAACCAGTCCTGATTGTGAACGTTAAAATCTCCCAAGATGGTAACATGGCAGTTGGGGCTGGTTGCAAACAAATGCTCAATGTTCGGAGATAGAAAATCAAAAATGGAAGAGTCGCCGCTTTTGGGGGGACGATAGAGAACACAAAAGTAATGATTAAAAGAAGGAAGTCGAAGTTTCACGAATGGAAAAGTCAAGATTTGGGATCCTTGGTGAATAAAGGCGCAGACACCAGCTTTGGGTTGAAAAGAAGAATGCAGAATGTAGTTGGGTAAGTAAAGGTGAGTGGTGTCTGACGAGGGGGAGATTTTTGTTTCGGTCAAAAAAGGTCGAGCGGAGAAGAAGAATGGAGAAAATGGTGTACAGAATCAATATTACGGTTCAGTCCGCGAATGTTGATGAGGGTAATTAGTGCCTGTTTACAGTCTGAGTGCATAGAGCGAGCGAGACTACGTGAGTGTTCGTGATTTTGTATATTCGTGTATATATTGTGAGCAAACCGGCAACCATGATCCTGAAACTTGGAGTGGCGGACCACATAAATCTTCAATAAATCGATTTTGCGCGCAGCGCGAGAAACAAGTGGATAAATATAAGATGACCGTGAAAGAGAACAAGATAATGAAGAACCCAATAGATTGCATGATTCCGCGGAACGGAGTGCTCGAGTTCAAATTCAAAGAAGGGGAGAAAGGTGCGTGTTTAAGAGAAATGGACATAGGGGAAGTTTTACTGGCATTGAACAAAACACGGTTTTTTTACTACACACTTTCGTGTGATGAACAGCAGACGGGGAAAGCCCCATAGTCACGAGGACCTGCTGTTCAGTGATGGAAACCGGTACCCTAAGCCTCGGGACTTGGAGTGGCGAACTACAGGGCCCCTATAGGTTAGGCGTGGTACCGAACCGGACGATAGCAAAGCTGCCTACCACCAGCGTCGGATGGCGGTTGCGGGGCTGGAACCTCGAACCATAGGGTCTAAAGCACGCCTGTGGTGGCGGAGTTGATCAGCAACAACTGATTCCAGAACCTTCGAAATGACTGGTGTGAGAGAAATGGGGCGGTAGTTGTTCGGGTCAGAGTGGTCGCCGCGTTTTGGGATGGGGAATATTTCTGATATTTTCCATAGTGTTGGGAATTGAGGGATAGACAAAGTAAGCGACGTAGGAGAGAAACCAGTTTTGGGGTGCACATTTTGAGGATGATGGGAGGAATCTTGTTGGGTCCAGGTGGCTTGTGTGGATCCAACGACAAGAGGATCTGGCATATATTTCTGGGGGAAATGAGCTGTGTGAAAAGATGGTTTGCTATAGGGTGTGTAAAGGGTTTGATGAGTGATTCGAACGGGGTAGAATTGGAAGCAAAATGGGAGGTAAACACTTCTGCTTTTTCCAACGGGTCGGATACTAAGTCATATGCGTTAACAGTGGCCTTAGCAAGTGATCAGAACATCCCGCTTCCGGAAGGAGCGGTTGCTAACTGTGCAGCTTTGCGCTCTAAAAAGTGCGCCTTAGCCTTCTGTATGATGGTTGTACAGTTGTTGCGTGCTAACAAGAACTATTGGCGGGAGCTGGGGGAAAGTGAACAAAACAGCGGCGGAACGCTGATTTCTTTTTACGAACAGGGCAACAGTAGGTGTGGTTGAGCCATTCTGGAGAAAGGCTTGCCTTTCTCAGTGAAATATGGAATACATAAGTGCATGCCTTGCAAAAGAACTCTGGAGAAATTCGAAGCAAAGATGGAGACATCGGCGGAAAAGCAGCATTCATTCCAAGGGTAGGAAGCACAACTTTTCTCCAGCTGCCCATTCAATACCCACGTTTTGGAGGTCACTTAGTACTCTCCTTTATTTCGTCTACGACGAAATTTGACAGGAACGGCGAAGAAGTGCACCCTTTGACGAACGCCGCTACTTAGTTCATTATAGACCCTTATATCATCATCATCGTACGGGAAATACGCTGAAGCGAACTTTACCGATCTCTGCCAAACTCGTAATGCATACAACGTTAGTGGTAATGTTTGAGATGGACAGGGATTAGACCTATTTTGAGGGAGGCGGAAAAAAGTGAACCTCTATGGTCAACACAGAGTTCGCAATCGAACTATGCATACATACGGTTTCAAACGTTCTGACCTGATAAGAAATGACAACAAGAACACCACTTCTGTCAGTTCGCTGCCGTATCCTTCAATGTCTCCAATCAACCGGTTATGGAGTCTTTCGGACCCCAACCTGGAAGGCGAGAGACACCTACTCTGCTTAATGGCTCTGTGCATTTCTTCATGCCTCGTCTCCACGTCATCTGTTGACCTCCACGTGGTTTCCTACAACCTGGATTAGCTACAGCGAATAAAGCGCGGTGCGGCAGATGACAGCTGGGCATAGGCAATACGTGCCCTAGCCAGCGAAATCTATTAATCTGGATTTTTCTCTTTTTCCTTTTTAATTTTACTTCCTTGTTATTGAATACACAATGATACGATTTTCAGGATGGGGAAAGTCAGGCGGTGGTTGTGGGGTTCGAAAACACGTCCACCGAAGTGATAATTTGGTGACGTTACCACCAGCATACTAGCAGGCTTATACCTGATAGACTCAAACACACGAGGGCTTACCTCCACGCCACTAACCCGTTAGTTCCATCCAACGTAGACTAAACTGTGTAAACAGCGATAATCGAAAACTTCTAGTCGACGGATATCTTCTACTCTCAAATTCAAGATCTCACAACCATAAAGCAGCACTGAACAAACGCTAGCACAATATACACGACCTTTCAACTTCAGCGAAACGTCGCGTCTACGCCAAAGATGGTTCAGTCTTGCGTATGCTGCTCGAGCCTTGGAAATGCGTACGGTTATCTCTTTTGCTTCGTTACCGTCATTGGGGACACAACTACCTAAGTAGGACAAATAATCCACCTGGGTGGTGGTGGCACAGTGGTTTAGTCGCTGTCACCGGCGTGCTTTGGACCTTATGGTCCGAGGTTTGAACCCCGCCACCGCCACCCGACTATGGTTGTAGGCAGCTCTGCTGTTGTCCGGTTCAATACCACGCTCAACCTATCGGGGCCTTATGTGGTTCGCCACTCCAAGTCCCGAGGCTTATGTTGCCGATTTCAATCACTGAACAACAGGTCCTCGTGACTATGGGGCTTTCCCCGTCTACTGTTCATTACACCTAGGTGTGTAATAAAAAATAAAGAAACAAATCCTGGTGATTTAGTTTCAGAGCGGGAGTAGACGAAACCCAGTCCTGCAGCATCACTTTGCACTTTGAAGGTGCAAAGCACATACCGAATGTGGAAACAGCACTCGTTAGTCTATCAAATGTGTTTTGCGCGTCCTCCATACATTCGAACAGACAGGCGATGTCGTCGGCG